TAGTTTATGCAAAATCAGCAAAAACCAGGAAAACATGATGTCTTCCGTCGACCCCGTCCCCGTCGCCATCTTATTCATTTCCCCACGTCCTTTTCTCCCCCTAGCTTCGTTACGAAAATCCCCTAGCACTAGGCATCTGTGCAAAACGGTCGATTGGTTATATACAGAGCATATCATATTTTTGTTTCAGATGGTGTGTTGCCTAACCATAAGGGTGGATGTTCACAATTGTGAAAAATTTAGGGCTTCTCCCGCAAGTTTTTTTTTGTCGAAACCCTTAAAAAGTACCCTTTAGTCATTTTTATTAATTTCATGATCATACCTTGGGGGGTTTATTAACGTCACGTGTCCTATTTTTATAAAAGTCCAGGAATGAAAGTCGGAATACTTGCTTCCTAATGATTAATCAGCCCTTTCCCGGCCCATTTATGTTTTCACCTCCTTGACCGACTTTTTTAGTCAAGGAAAAGAAATAAAACTACGTTTGTTATTGGACTGTTAGTATACTTCTTTGCAACCTAATACGTGGCATTCCACTGGAGGTTTCATAAAATCTGGATCAAACTTCACTTGTTTCTTGATTTCATAGTATCCACCTTATAAATACATGGTTACACTGATTCTATCAAATGTGTAAGGCTAAGGACCAAGTAGATGTGTTTCCCAATTGCATTTCCTTTCAAAATAAGTACCTAGGCACTTAAGTGCTGAAATGTAAAATCAACGATTGCGGAAATTGTTGGAATTCCACACGTATACACATCATTTTCTTGATTATTAGATAATCTGATATATTTATGCACATCCGTATCTTCAAATAGACAATTTTCATGTGTGACCACCATTGAAGGTGAATCATAAGATAAAAAATCTATTTCATTCCAATGCCAAAATAAATTTCGCACTTGATGATGTGTGTACATTCGGTAATAGATTTTGTCTGTTGACCTATGAAGACATTACCTGTGATATTTAAACATTGGATAGTTGAATGTTACTTAATTATATATGTCAAACGTTAACTATTGTTTTAAAAAAATACCAGTCGCCTTTCGTTCTCAATTGAGACATAGCACAAGTAAAAGTAAACGTTTGCACTTGAACCCCAATTTTATTCACATATTGTGGTTTTATAGAAGTGACGTTTTTGGTAACACTTTTTCTAATAATCATTTTACATACCCTTTTCGTTTTATATTCCGTAATTTATGGCCTATGTTTTTCCGATAGTCCTATTTTTTAACTGCCCAATAAAGGTGAAATTAATTGAATATTCAAAGCCATATTTCACAAAACAAAACCGCGAGCATATTAATAAGCGAATAATTTAGTTAAAACAGGTTAAATTCCCACGTGGGAATGATCCAGTTGATCTGTCTACTAAGATACAAAAAAAAAACGGTGGGAATCTATTGAGTAACTTTTATCATCGAACTTACATTGCGCCCTTGAACTTGAAGAAAGAGGCGACACCTGCTGATTTGTGGAAGTATATTTATTAACGTGCCTTCTAATAAATTATTCTTAAATTTTGCGGTGACTGTTTGATATTTAGTTTTTTTATTGCCGTCTATCTAATCCTTAGACGCGATGGCACCGACATACGATGTGACGTACCTTTCTTTTGAAATTTCCATATAACTAATTTACCCATTTCTTGTTTATATTTTTTATGATGTATGAAATTAATGTTTGTGTTCGTTGTTCAAGAGGTCACAGGTTAAACAGGCTAGTTTAATCGAAATATCTACCTTTTATTAGAGGAGACTGACCGAAAACCGATGAATGCCATTAGCATCCTACTGCACCACCCTCTTTGGTAATTACAAGATGAAAATAAGAATAACGAGACCATAACTAAAAAAAACCGTCTTATAGGAGCCTCCCAGTTTAGCTCCTTTGAAATAAAGTGGATATGGTAATTTCGATGATGACCATTATCATTCCTCATGGAAACAAGGGTCAGTAACATACGTAACAGACGATTGGCATTATATGGCGAAGTTGACATGGTCCCACCTGCAAGTTCTTCTAGTGAATGTTATACGATGCGGCACTGTTTAACCCAAAAAAAGAAGAAAGCTCTTCATTTCATTGAGGAGTTGATCGTTGGAAAGTGGGAACATAAAAATGTTACTGTGGTCTTCATTGACACCTCGTATTGGTTGACCATAAAGTGTCATCTATTTAGTGTAGGTATAAGCATCTTCATCTTTGCGTGGTTACCTATTAGCACTGACAGTTTAACGAGTGAAATGGAAACATGATACAATGCACACGCTTTTTTATTACGTTGATTTTAAATGATTAAGAAAATGCAAACAACTGAGAAGGTGAGTCAGTATCTTGCACGATTATTTAACTAATGAGTCATAAGGCGAAGAAAAGTCACCTTAGAGACTTTGGTCATTTTTGCGACTGTTATGTAATATACGCGTTTTAAAGAAGACGTAGTTGCGTTTGTGTGTAGTCAAATTTATTGCGGAAATTTATTTGAAGATACAGACTGCGTATATCTTTCTGCTCTTGAAACTTAAATGGATCTGTAAATTGTGGTCGCAAAGATTAGTTACGCTCAAAAATAAGTTGTTCCAGTCCTTTCCTCCGACCTCATCAACAACAACGCTGAATCGGGTCCAGCAACAAAAATTAGTTCCAAGATGCTAATGAGGAAGTTCACGCGGAGAAACGCCTTAACCACTCGCGTGAGCGCGGTTGTTTTCATCGATAATAAAAAACTGTATTGTACACCTTCGCGTAAAATAAATTGCTAATGCTCGGTACCTACAATTTCTTCATATCTAAAATTTTCTTCATATTGAAAACCAGCAAAGCTTAAAAATCGTTTTCATTCATTCAAGGAACCATGGTGCGATGTCCCATTTTCTTTTACATGTCGTATCTGAACACTAAGCGCTTCCACTACAAATAGTGACATGATGCGGTTTGAACTTTTTAAAACCAAGTAAACCGTCGAAAGGACATGAATCTCATCATCTTGAAAATTTGGAATATATATCAATGACTTTGTGTCAACTTTACAAGTGTCCAGTGGAAATATGTATGAGAGGCCAAAATCGACAAGGAAAGTCAAGGATCGCTTCGCAGAAAGGTAGAGTATACAAAGATGACATATATTGCTGTGGCCCCATGTTGGGCGCCAAAAAAATAATGCTGTGGCCCCACGTTGACCGCCACATAAATACTGTTGTGTGCAATGGACTGCGGAAGAAATCTATACTAAGATAATAACCTGTGTGGCGCAGTTCAGTTGAAGCTGGACTGTGGTGCTAGGGTCCCTGGTTCGAATCCGGGTTCGGGCATGGATATTTGTAAATGTATAGTGGGTTGGGTTGGTAGAGCAGCCTTGGCTGAAACCCCGCCCACTCAAAAATAAAGGCTAAAGAAATAAATAAATAAATAAATAAATAAATAAATTTAATGCGGGAATTAACTTACATCTAAAACTAGACGGCTACATGGCGTAAGGATATAAATAAGAGCAAAGATACTTTGAACCAGAGTATATTTCCAATGTTAAACGGATTAAGAAAAATGTTCAAGCTGGAAAAAACGTTCCTGATGCAAAAACGCGGTGTATTTTTAGCTAATTTCGTCCTGTTATATGTGGTGGTATTGGAGCTAGTAGGGCGTGTAGTTTTTTAATTTAGTTAGAATTATCCAGGAACCTTTTGAGGCGTAGGTATATGTTTTAGATTTGAGTAGTAATAACTTCTTAATGTCATTGAATTTTTAACGTTGCCAATAAAAGTTTAACTAAAGTTTAATTTTATTTGAAAATAAAATTATATATACGACCTACTGGCACTTCAAGATTTTACAATGGGTTTTAAATTAAAACAATACGATTAGTGGTATTAAAATAAAATTTAATTTAACAGATAAAAAATGAATTACAACTTATTTGACTTAAATTCGAACCAACTTGTGAAAGGGAAGGTAGTCGGCGGCAGACTGGATGCGGTGGTTGGCCTAACGATACGGAAATCTCGAGCGCCACCAGAAGGTTTCAACCCTTGCTCCAGGTCAAGGGTGGCGGTTTTGGGACGGAAATTTGGAACCCACGGGTACCCCAGACAGTAAAACGGAAACCTCCAGGGATCTTGAGGGCAAATGGCGGCGGTCGCTGGCGAATATCTAAGAGAAAATTACGACACACGCCAATTTTTCAATTTCGAACGAAAGTACAAATTAACTAACACTATCTTTACTAGCTATGACAAAACGAAAAAGAAAAACAAACCCCTTTTATACTTAACGGAATGAAAATATCAAACGCTTACCTTGAAATTAAAAGGTACGTTCAAATGCAAAAATGACACGAGTCAAAAACGAAAAAGATTCCCCTAAACCTTACCTTATATACACTTCCGAAAATACAGAGGGTGATAAACTCTTCTCTAATTACCCTAACTCTAACTCTTCTTTAGTTAATTATGTATCGAACTACGAAGCACCCGGAATTTCTGCATTGAGTTTGCCGTTTGCGAGGACCACCCTCTATCTATAGTAACCATTGGTTTGGGCTTCATAGAAAACTGTAATTTCAAGAACTTTCCGCGGCGCCATGGAGATCAGGTGAGGCCGTAGTTAATTAGTCCGCCTACGACCGTTACTGTTGGAATTTTGGAATTATTTTTGTAACCACTGAAGGGTCTTGTCCTGGAGAAGATGAAGGACAATTAATATTTTTTGGTTTCAGCGCCGTTAATTGTTTATAGGCCGTTTTAGTTTCCCATAATAAGTAAAAGCGAGGATAGAACAAGTTCCGAAGCGAGTTGTTTTGTTCGTTATCAGTTGGCGGCGTGCCTGCAAAAATTGGATAACCGCCGGCCTGATTTGGGACCGAAAACGTATAATTAACATAAAGATAATTAATGTAAAGAGTTCATGAGCTTCCGTTTTGCCTTTTGAGTAGGTATGTATAATTAGCATGCACAATTAAATGAGTTATAGTAAAGGAGTGCCGATTGAAAAGATTTTGATGTCAAATTTTTCGCGCTTAATTAACGAATCGATTGCCAGATGTTCGGGAATTTTAGCACCAACAGGGGCCGAGTAATTAATTAAAAATCGAATTTATTGGTTTCGATTTCGTATTGAATGCGTGACGAATTGGATTTTTCCTGTTCCACTTCTACCAAATTGGGTTTTCTTTATAAGGTAAACGCTCAATTTTGGAAGGATCTTTTGCGTTCTATTTGCCGTAAGTACGTTGTAGCGTTTGCAATTTTTGCGTGCCTTTACATTTGCCTTTTCTTACCGCGGTTTAATTTCGCAAGGTAAGCCGTTTTTTTTTATTACAAAGGGGGAATTGTCTTCACCCGTTATCCCGAATTTGCCCGCTATAAAAACCGTCACTTTACCTGTGACTAATTACTTTTCTTCAGCTAGGGAATTTGCCGGCACGCCACATTTTGTTTTAGAGTTCCAGACAGTACCGCCGCCATTTTCTGGACCTTATCGCCGAATTCCTGGAATCTTCGATTGAGACTACTTCCGAGGCTACCGAAACCGATCCTGTCCTTCCGTAATTACCGCCGACCTCGTCCAGGCGCGAGATTTTCATCTGGTGACGCTCGAGTCCGTCCCCTGTACCGCCGTTTCGTCGACAACTGATTGCCGCCGACTACCGCTTGAAGAATTACAATATACGGTGCATTATAATATATTTAATTAAACTAGTTTCGACAAATACTTCCACTAATTGTTTTTATTTCCTCAAGCTCACCGGTTATGCGCGAGCAGCCCAAGTTCGTCGCAATTACCAGACTCCCTGACGTCCTGAAAATCAGGAAATTCATGTTATTTAAGCGTGAGACTAGCCACAAACTAATCAGACGAGGTTTGCTGCAACACATCTGATTAGCCACTTTGGTTTAGAAACAAACGACTGACGCCATTGATTAATTTCTACGTTAAAAAGTGCCTTTGTGTTCTAGCTTCAGAAGTAAAGGAGTTACAGCAAATTGAAGGAATCGGCCATTTTTGAGTTCTTCTCTCTCAAAACAAAAGACGGCAGCTTATTTCTGGCAACGGTAATGGAATAAGCATGAAAAAAGAAGTCACGAGTACCTTAACCGTTTTCGCTTATCTGCGCTAAAAAGAAAGTTACCCATTTAAGCCCATCAAAATTGGACCACACTGTACAGTTGTACACTCTAAGATGACGTGTTGTACTGATGGCGCTCCTTACCATAGAAACTATTGCGAGGTTCTTATTTGGTGTAGTGTTTCTACATTTGAAAAACGCCCATCCTGTCGTAGGTATACTCGTATATCTATACCAAATTGCTTAATTAACATGATTGTTGTTATCGCAAACAAATATTACACCAATGTTTACGAATTGATTAATTGACCATATCTATAATTGTACTACGTAAATGCCTTGACCACATAAAACTACCCACTTCTCTTTGAAGTTTGACGCACAAATCATAGAATATAGTTACGTCCAAATTACCAGCTAATAATTAGAACTTTATTACATTGTTATTCGTTGAAAAATGGAAATATCTCATAGGTAGTGGTATGCAAATTATCTACCTCGCCACGTGATTTGAACTTGAATTTTTTCGTATGTAGGTAGGTATACACTGTCAGCAGTTGAACTATTGAAAGATTTCAATATTAAATTGACATAATAATAAATTACCGCATGCAATAATCACAGAACGTAAGATTTTTTTCAAGGAAATAAGGATATTGAGCCCGTGATTCGACGAAATATCGCCTCACAAGTGTTATTGACCACTTAATCAAAATAAACAGTGTGGAGTCTCACGAACTCGCTTGGTTCTAGTGCCAAAAAATATGTCACTTTGAAAGATCGATTATTGTTTCATTCATAGTTTAGTATTACTACAAATTCCATTCCTCTACCTATCCTTGAATCAAAACGTTTACCTCTGAATTGAAGTACATAGGTACTCTAATGACAAATGATTTTCTAGTGTTTTTTTGTTGCACCTGTCACACGTTTTGCTTCACGTGAATTATAGCACTTAATTTCGGTATAAACGTGTACAAAATGTGTCATCATATTACTTTCGGATAATAATTAATCAAAACCATTTCTAACGAATATTTATTGTAACCTGATGCTCGCCATGTAAGATCATTTATGTGTATGTATATTTCAGCCCTTCTTTGCAATCATTACGTCTCATTGACCATGACTTTTTTGGCGTAGTCCTCTTTTTCAATTATTCAATTTCTGCACAGCCGTTGTCATTGTTGCATTCAATTCATGAATGTAATTAAACTCATTATTTTTACGCAGATACATATTGTGTTCTGTTCAAATATGCATTGTCCTAGAAATAAATTAGGTTTCAGTTGTAAAAGTGCTCGTGGTTGTAACTGACAATAAGCTTTTCTGCTCCAATTGCTACTAAGAATTTTTTGACTTACACGTTTTATTACACTGCGGTAAAAAGAACAGGAATAACATTTGCACAGATTTGGGCTACATGTTTCAAATCCGATGCACTTTTAGTCTAAACTCGAAACTATGCAATGCGGATCTCATAACAAAATGTAACAGTGTAATGACGGGGTATTTTAAAGAACACTGAACAAAGGAAATATAGCTAATAAAATGGGGTTATTTGTTGGTCAGAAATCATTATTAAGATGGAACAAATATACCTACTGTAAACTGATCTTTCATTTGAAACATCCCTCTACGCGTACGATTATACGGTGAGGTTTCCCCTGGTTCGTGTCTCCTTTGCGTAAAAAGGACGACCGAGATCTTCTCTGCGTTGACGGCGATCCTCCATCTGGTGTATCATTCTTCTAGGTCGTCCGTCTTCGGCATGTCCCGAACGTATAGAGAGAATATCAACGGCGAGAGCAGAGACCCCTGGGGTACTCCGGCCGTTGCTTTGCGCTCACGCGACCTGCATTCTCTGCAACGGACGCGAAAGCATCTGTCTTTGAGATATGATGCAACAATTTGGACCGTGGCTATAGGGGGAGATCGGATTCCAGCATCTTCCACAGCAACCCGTTGTGTCAAACCTTAGAGACGTCCAAAAAGACTGATCCAGTAGACTAGTTGCGATTAAAGCCTTCTGTCGCGTGTTTTATCGTCCTTAGCAGTTGGTGAACCGTCGAGTGGCCCTTCCGAAATCTGAACTGCTCGTCTTGAATGACGGGTCTCTCCTTCGTTTGGTCCTGTAGCCTCGTCTGGATCACCGCTTCCGCTTCTTTGGCGATCGTCGACAGCAGGCTGATTGGGCGGTAGATCTGTGAGAACGTCGTAACCTGGCCCGGTTTCTGTAACATAATTACTTCGGCACGTTTCCACCGTGCAGAATAAAAACGAAAAATCTTACCACATGTTGAGGAAGCTCCTTGATCGCCATACCGTCCGGTCCTGGCGCCTTCTTCGAGTTTGTATTTATGATGGTGTCGCTTCTTCGTGGTCTTGAAGCAGGGATCTCCTGACCCTTCGGTTGACGGCATCGATCAAGTCCAGATCCACGTTTTCGTAGTTGGGAGAAAACTGCCGTTCCAGACATTCCGCGAAGGCGTAAGTATACACAAGTCCTCCGACTCCGTGTAGCGGGAAGGATCTGGGGAGGGAGCGACCCAGGAGCAATTCCCCTCGCTCAAGGATCGCAGGTGGTTTTCCCAGGACTCGTTTCTGAAGTCCCGGATGGCGGTCTTGATCTCTTCTTGAAGTCTTCGGAAGTCTGCTTGATCTAACAAATCCCACGAACGTTGGAAGTACGCTCTGAATCGATTCTTCTCCCGAATTACGTCTCGTATTCAACCCGGAAGGTGGTAATCGTCTCTGCGCTCTCGAAATGACTTCGTGGCGTCTCTTTCTTCCAAACTCATCGGTCGCCGCGTCGAGATTCTCGACGTCTTCGATTATCGGTGGATTGTCCATCATCGTTTCCCCAAAACGATTTCGGAAGGCGGGCCAAGACGTGCACCTCGTCTCGACCTAGTCGGCCGCGTTCGTTGCGTAAACTCCCGGTTCTAGGAGAACGGGATTAAGGTTCAAGTCCAGTTCTGGCGTCGTCGTATAGGACCTACGACCTCGCCTCTTGTTTCCGGACTGTAATGATGGGCTCGCCCGGTCCAACTACGATGATCGAGTGATCGTTGGCGTAACTATTGAGGACCAAGCCGCGCCGTTGCGGGTTAGAGCCTTAGAATTCCACGAGGGATCCCCGGCGATGACGGTGGCTACATACTCGTCTATGAGCGCATACAGATCTTCTGGGCAAGAAGGCCATCGCGGGTGGATAGTACGCTGATAGGAGCCTCAATCGGCCCGCGCTCGATGTATGCACCTCCACAAAAGTGGCCTCTATGCTTCGAAGTGGCGGCGTTTCGATGAAGTTCGGGCCACGCTTTCACGTGGATGGCGGTATCGCTCCCTCTTGCATTCGGTCGATCGTTCCTGTAGAATCTGTAGTTTGTCATCTTCTGGATGTCTCCGGCACGTAGGTCAGGTGGGTCTTAAACCAACAAGACGTCGACGTTGTGTTCCTCTCGGTGTTTTTGCCACTTCCCCATTCGTCCGTGGGCGTTCCAGAAGACTATCTGCAGTGAGGCTGGCGTCGTCCTCCGTCAGTATATTGTTACGTGAACAGATTAAGGATGGCTTGACCGTGTTGGAGGATGACTCCGAACAGCTCCGAAGAAGACTTGACGTCCTTCAGGGCTTCCGCCACCGTCTATCTGGAGGACGGGTATGGCTTTCTCTATGTCGAATTTGGCTAAGAGGCTGAAAATCGACTGAAACTGAAAGTCCGGGGTGACTGTCAGTAGGGGTGTTGTCGGTGGCGGGTACTTCCGGAGACGCATCTCTTGTTTCCGCTGCGTAGCCCGTACCGGGACGAGTCCCGGCGGTTTGGATGCGTCCCTTAGGCGGGCGCGATTGCGGCTGTGAGGCAGTTCCTGGTCGCCTTGAACGGAGACGCTTGTGTGCTTGTTTCCCGGATGTTTACCTCGGCAATTTACGCAGGCTACTTTATCCTCCTCTGGTTTGACGCACTTGGCGGAAAAGTGGGAGCCGGCGTATTTCACTCAGCGAGCGGCTGCGCGGCAGCATTGCTGTGAGTGCTGGAAGCCCTGACGACGGTGGCACTGTCCTGCAATAGGCTTCCTTTTAAGCAATTCGACTTTAATACGCAATCGAAGAACGTTCGAGATTTCCGTTTTTTGTAGCTGAACCAGCACCCACGGCATCGCTTGCCGGGTCTCATCCGACATCTTGATCGACCATATCCGCCTTCACGTCTTCTAACGTGAGGTTACACAGGTGAGGTTACAGCTTCTTCTCGTTCATGTGCCGAGATCGGGGAGGGGGAGGGGGGCATTCGGACGCGCCTTCGCTCGCCTCGGTGTTGTTAAGTACGGTTTGTGGCTACCCGTCTCGCTAGGGTGTACCGCCTTAATCTCTTCGCGCTCGCTTCGCTTCCAAAACGCCTCTTTTACCGAGACCAGCGCCGTTACGAGGCGCTAGAACCGGAATTAAACTGGTGTCTTCTCACGAAAAGGCTCTTATTTAGGTTGACTCACCAAGGGTGGGCTCAACCTCGAGAGAGCCATTTCTTACGACTACGCCAGCCGGAACCGCTCTCCGCACCTTTGACGTGTTAGGAAAACCTAAAACGAAAACACGAGGATGCTTTGAAAAAAGCAAAACCCTATTTGCATTAATAAATGCA